GGATCTCTCCAAAACGCTCTGTGCCAGGGCAGATGCCCTGCAGTGGGGCTGGAGGGGATGGCTCCCCATGGATCTCTGGGACCAAACCCCTCCCGCTCCCTCTCCTGATTCCCCCTCGCCCTCCTCTCACACAAAATCCCTTGGGATGATAAAGACCCTTCCAGGGCCCCCGTCTCAAAGCCCAGGGGACCCAGTGTGGCTGCCAGGGCCAGCACTACAGGAGACATGGGATACAGGAGATCCCTGGGAGTGTCCAAGGCCAGGCTGGATGGGGCTTGGAGCAACCTGGGTGTCCCTGCCCGTGGCAGGGGCGTTGGAACTGGATGATCTTTAAGGTCCCTTCAACCCAAACCATTCCATGATTCCATATGGCCCTCGCTGTCCTCCCCGGTCCCCTGGACACCCACCACACTCCGGGGACTCGTCCGAGCCATCACCGCAGTCATCATCGTGGTCACAGACGAAATGCTTGGGAATGCACTGGCGGTTTCCACACATGAACTCCCGCTCGTCACACGTGTTGTTGTACACTGCAACCAGGCATCGCTGTCAGCCCCCCACCAGACAGTGTGCCTGCACCCCCCGAGCCCATCTTGGGGTGCTGGGGACAAAAGTGGGGTCAGGGACTCCCGCTCCTTCACCCAAGACTGAGTCCAGGCCTGTGCCCTCGTCCTGTGGCCATCACCAGCACCCGGGCAACATGGTGCCTTTGGCTACTGCTCCACAGGACGGTGCTCCCCCTCCCCTCACAGGGAAAGGCACCCAAGTGTCCCTGTGTCCAGACGGGCTGTGACCACAGCACTGCCGTCCTGCAAGCCTGGCGGGAAAGTGGCCAGGACGAGGCATCCCATCTGCTACCAACAGGAACCCTGGGGTAGCCACCCCCCGGCACCCCCGCCTGCCCTACACTCCACTCCTCTCCACCCCCCGCCACTCACGGCAGCCGGCCGCGAGGGTCTCATCAGCTCCGTCTGCACAGTCCTTGTCGCCGTCACAGAGCCAGCGCTCCGGCACGCACACGTAGGTGCCCGGGCACTGGAAGGATCCCGTGCTGCAGGTGGTCAGCCCTGGGGAAAGGAGATGCAGGAAGGAAGCCGGTCACCCCTGTCGCTGGGGAACCTGCACTCCTGGGCTGTGCGCCCCCACACCTCGGGGGATCTAAGATACAGACCCCAGGGGAGCAGTAAGGACCACGGCAGAGGAAAGCAAGGTTGGGAGAAGGGATGAGCAGGGGTGGAAATGCAGAGATGGAGCAGCAGCGCAGGCAGGGACTGAGTGGGGTCAGAGTGGGGGGGCTGGAGCACTCACGGCAGCGGCTGTCCTCATCGGAGCCGTCCCCGCAGTCGTCGGCCCCGTCACACACCCACAGCTTGGAGATGCAGCGGTGGTTGTTGCACTCAAACTGGACGGGATAGCAGAACTTGTCTGGGAGAGGAGAGGGGGGTCAGCGCTCGGGCAATGTGGGGAGGGGGACACGGCAGCAGGGCACAGCCAGGCCGGGTCAGCCGTGCTCCAGGGATGGGTCTGGGGCTGCTGCTCGCCCAGACCTGGCAGTGCCTAGACACCACGCTGATGGGCACTGCAGCTGCAGGACTGGTGTGGGGTTCCCCACTCGAGCTGGGGAGGTTCCCCAGTTCCTGAGCACTGTGTAGGGTTTGCTCAGGGAGGCTGGAACTACAAGTGTAACTCCAAGTGAGCTGTGAGCGTGTCCACCCGCAGCACAGACACTCCTGCACGTGCTGAGCAAGCCCACACACAAGGACAATTCCCCTGCTCGCAGTTAGAAGCCCAAATTTGGGGAATAAGACCATGGAGGGGGAAGAATCTGGAGTCTGGCCCTTGGCAAAGGGACGTCAGAGAGGGGAGAGTGTCCTGCCACCCCGTGCTGTCACCCCCGGAGTCCCTTGCTCTCCCCACCCTGCCGCTCACTGCAGTGAGTCTCGTCTTCGCCGTTCTCGCAGTCGTCCTCCTTGTCGCAGGTCCATGTCATGGGGATGCACCTCCCGCTTGGGCAGGCGAAGTAGTTGGCTGGACACTTGGGTTTCCTCCCGCCTGGTTTGCGAAGGAAACGCCGGTCGGGGTGGTGGGGCAGACACATCCTGCCTCCTCCCAACCCAGAACTGCCCGATTCCAAAGGATTTCTCCCGCAAAGCCCTCTATGATCCCGCAGTGATCAGCGCCTGGCAGCACTCTCTGAGCAGGAGCTGTGCAGGCACAGGATGATAGGATCCAGGGAGACCTTACAGCACCTTTCAGGGCCTGGGGGGCTACAAGAAAGCTGGGGGGGCTTTTCCCAAGGGCAGGGAGTGACAGGACAAGGGGTAACGGGTTTAACCAGAAAGAGGGAGATGGAGATGGGACATCAGGAAGGAATTCTTCCCACAGAGGGTGGGAGCACTGGGACAGGTTCCCAGAGAAGCTGTGGATGCCCCATCCCTGTGAGTGTCCAAGGCCAGGCTGGATGAGGCTTGGAGCAACCTGGGCAAGCAGAGGGTGTCCCTGGGGGGCTGGGTGAGCTTTAAGGTCCCTTCCAGCCCAAACCATTCTGTGATTCTATGGTAGTCCTGGAGTGCAAACAAAGCACCCACTGCCCAAAGAGACCCCAAATCCCTGGCCTGAGGGTTGGTGCCATGCCCCTGCTCCCCCAAGCCCAAGTCCCCTCTCCTCCCCCCGTTCTCACCTGGGCAGTTGCGCTCGTCGGAGTAGTCTCCGCAGTCGTTCGCCCCATCGCACACCCAGCTCGGAGCATAGCACAGAGAGGTGTGTTCGCACTTCTGGAACGTGGTACCCTTCACCCCCAGCTTGAAATAGCTGCTGCAGTCGGTGGCGGCTGGCAAGGAACA